TCAAGCCTTACTAGTTTTTCATCCTGAAACCATTATCCATTTTAGTAACGTATTTTTTACGCGACCAAATTTCGAAGAAAAGCCGCAATTCCCTTTTAGGATTACTCGACGAGCATCACTTTTAATGAAGAGATCCCGTGAATACAATCCAGCAAGCATTTCAAGCTGACTACTGAATCAGATAATCATATCATCCCTATACATGACGAGAGCTTAGTGATTAAAAAATGAAGGAGAAAAGCAAAACGACACACCCCATCAGCAGGTTTTCTGAAGACATCTTCACTCAAACAAAATGCCGTTCCGACACGTCGTTTCACTTTTGGTTCAGGTTCTCCGGGCATCAAAGTCTTATAGATCTCCTTTGGCATCTCGCCGGTTATCTCCTGAACAAGGCAGATCCAGTTGATCAATGGCGGAAAAGAATAATAAAAAGCAACACTGTATACAAGATAATGGCTTGTCGAATACACCAGCTGTTAGTGGAAGTTAAAAAATATAACTCTACATATCGGTTACAAAATGATACACAGATATGATTACTGCGTCTATTAGAGTGCGTTTGAACGATATCTTTCATTACAGTTCTCAAAGGTAAACTGAAGTTTGAAATCGCTGCGTTGATCTAAAGCACTTGTAAAGTAAGGAAAACAGGTGGACTTTCATTTCATACCTCTCGAAAGAATACGAAAGAATTTCTCTCGAAAGAATACGAAGCGAGAAAAGTGAGAAAAATAACAAGAGGAGACTATCGAAAAAAAAAAGAGTTCGTCAAGACGAGAATGAACATGAGCCTACCGCTTCCTTGATGCAAACCTCGCGTAATTCTTCCAGTTTTGCCAAAAGTTTCTCTTCCAATTCATTCTTCCTTTGTTTCAACTCTCTGTACAGTTCAATATCCTTTTGTTTCTCCTCTTCAGATTTCTCTGAAAAATAAAGCAATACAGCGTTATGATCGAGTGAAAATTTGATACTCATTAAACCAAGGGAACTGGATTCAGGACAGGTGGAGATAATCGTAACATGTCGATTGCTGTCATCAGTGCGATCAAACAG